TTGCTTAAAAGGGTCTGTACAGAGCCAAGACTTAATAAAAAGGAACTTGGGGTGACTTTTAATGCTCCAATAATTAATTTAAATATCAAATTTTCCATCCAATTGAAATTCAAGGAAGATTTTACAAGCCCTTTCCCAGCCTCAGTGCAAGTGTTTCCTCCTTTTGTTTTTTATTTTTATTTAGAATACATGTACATGTATTGCTCTTTTATGAACTTCTTAATAGGGTATTTTTGATTATTCAATTATAATTTTCTTTTTGGTTAAAACTACAAAGTATTTCTGATTCATGATGTAATAACATTCAACAAAGTGTCCGTAGAAAAAATACGAATGAGTTTAGTGTGAATGAAAAATTAAACATGACCACAATGCTTTATAACTTCAGCCTTTGACGATATTTATTCATACAAAAAACAATACGGTAAACAGTAATTAAAAAGACTTGAGAAATAATTACTGTGATTGGCAAAGATTATAATCCAGTGCTTGCGGCTTGTGTCTCTGGTGGAGCCAATATTTTGGAGGATTAAAATATACTGCAATTATATGTACTTTTGATTTTTTGTCAACTGTCTTAAATATTAAACACGTTCCAGGAAGGACTGTTGCAACCTGGCACCCCTCTTTTCTTCATATATCTCAACAAAGGTTAGTCATTGCAAAAATGGTGAACAGACATGAATCTTTCAACGGCGAATCCATTGGCATCTGGAAACTACATCCGTTAGTGAGTTCCGTTGTCTAAATTTCCAATCATTTGAAGGGTCGAAGGAGAACACGAAACATGTCATCAACCTTCACAAAAACCAGAACTGCTGTTGAGAACATGGTACAATGTATGAAAGGATTGGTGAATACCTCTAAAATAAAATATGAAACATTTCTCTCTGCACAAAGGCATCAACCTAGAGAGAGCCTTTTAGGCCTTTTGCGTAGCATCTTGGAGGACAATCTTCTGCACCCCCCCCCCCCCAAAAGGAATTACAGTAACAAAAAGCTCTCAATGATGTCTTAATAGAGTCTATTTGATCCACAACAAATAACACTGTAAGCACGAACGTTACCGAAAAGGAATAAACCTGTTTTAAGCCCTTACTAATTACCACAAAAAACTTCTTTGGCTTCACGGTCAACGCTTTAAAAGAAAAAGGATTGTCAAAAAGGAAAACACACGGTAAAATTTTTTCCCATCCCCTTGCTGAAAAAGTGGAAAAATCCCGCAGCAAAGTCAACGGTGTCCATTTCAACCGTAAGATTGAAATTTGGTGTTTTTTTAGTTGTGTACTATCATTAGTTAAACATAAGTCCTATTGATTCATATCAAGTGGATGGGAAGCAGACTGTGTGATTCAAAGTTTCTCAAGTGACAATCTTATTCCTTATTTAGATAGACGTACGTGTATGTGATGGTCAGTTTTTACATTAGTTAATCCTCGATATCTGAATCATCACTTTCGGGTGAAGTGCGCTGCCCTTCACTTGGAATGTTTTCACAGTTGGTGCAATCGCACAAGTCTGTGCATGGCAGTTTTTTCAAGACAGCTACACTGGCCTTTTGTGCATTGACTTTTTTTACATGAGCAATGGGCAAATTCCATGACACTGTCTGGGGCAGGGGGAAGATCCATCCAATGGATACTGATGTCATCGCCGATGACCTTCCATCCTCTTCTGTGTGGAGACTAGACGGCACTTCAGGACGTGCATCCAGGGCCCGCTTGTATATGGCTGCCTGGTAGTTAGCCCTCTTTACGTGCAGGTGCAAGGCATCCTTGTTTGGCGGCATCAATGACTCCATCACAGTTCCCATCTGGAACATGTTGTATCTTCAGGTTGTCAAATTACGAGAAAAATCCCTTTCTTAAATGACAGCAATTTTTAATTGCAAATTGCATTTTCTTATTGTGCAACAGACACTGCATGTTTTAACTTGAGAAATAAGCATTAGCAATGAATGGAATGTTTTTTAAAACTGTACGAGAAACAAATTCCCAGAGATTGTCAATTCTAAAGTAGGGCTTGTATATGTTTTCAAGTATTTCCAATTTGATTTAGCTACAAAATTATGAAACCTTGACTCAAATTAATTTGGAGAATTATGGGTCAAAGAGAAATGTTCCATTCAACTCAGCTTCACCTCATAGAATGGAACATTCTATCATCCAACTTAGGAAAATATTTACACCATGGCACCCTCAGGTACAAACATTTATTATCCGTATAATATTCTTCACATGTAGATCAGGGGGGGGAAAAATTAAAAATGGAAAAAAAGTGAAAAACTAAAATCTAGATATATTGATAAATGATAGTGAGGGCTTGACATTTAGAGAAGTGGGCAGGTTCTCATTTTTTTTTTATTATATTATACTTTCTAGAAAGAAAATAGCAAGGAAATAAAAGTACAGTTGAAATGAGGACGCTATGAGCTGCCAGCTTAAAGAATGGCCAATGTTGGTTTTAACTACTTCGTACTTAGATAATTATAAATTATTACCAAGCAAATTGTGGCTTAAATTGAATGGTAGACCCACAACATACTACACAATCGAATCCCCAAGTTGCCAAGTATAAAGTCAAAGTGGATTTTGTTCTCCATATTTTTTAAATCCAGGGAACCGGCCGTTCTATACACAGTCGCCAAGTTCAGGGAGCATAGGCCTACTCAATATAAAATGTTCTGTAGTGTAATGTAAGAGTCTCTTTCTAGTCTTAAAATCCTATATCTGAGTGAGGGGGAAAAATTCTTTGATCTGTGGCTTTTCATAACCTTGCCAACCATGATCATCAGATCGTGCTGTCAACAATGGACGGTCAGATGGTCTACTAAATATTACTAGAAACATGTTTTACAAAACAAATCACACATCATGTGAATCTAGGTTGTAGAAAAAATATTCTGAAATATTTCGAATCCAACAGCTTCTTATAATTAAGTTCAAAGCAAAAGTAATAATACGAACTAACGTAGGCCTAAGGCCGATGATTCCGGTATCCCCTTCCGAAATTCTCTCCTTCCACGAGAGTACTGCATCAGTGCACGTGCATGCCGATGAACTTCTCCGCTTTTTCCACGATTTCTGCGTGTGTTGATCACGCCACATTCTTCCGACTACCAGCACAAGCAAGTAATTTTATCCAGCTTGTCTCGAAGAACGATGAAACGCCCGATTCGGCATTCAAAACATGCATAATGCACTTCTTTTCGTCCGAATCGCCGTCGTCCGAGGAGCTCATGGCGGCCGCCATCTTGTTGTCTAGCAGTGCTTACGCGCATGCGCATGCTTTTACTTACAGCGCCCGCTATTGGTCCACTCACCGCACCACGACAGAAGGGCCTCGCTGATTGTTCGTTGGAAAATAATGACGTAATTCTTCACTCGGCATTTTTTGCGCCAAAACGGAGGAAAACTGAACTTTAAATCGCGATTTGGGTACCGTTTTGGGTCACGGATCAACGGTGGATTATATATGTGAGCATCCCAACAGCTTCGTGAGTAGTTTAAGGGAATATACATCATTTGCTTTTGCTGTAATTTTCAGAAATAGATGGAATTGGGGGGTTTAAAATATCAAGCAAATATAGTTACACTAACTTTTTGGAGGTTTTGGGTACGAAAATGCTATAAAAACCAAGAAAAACGATCATTTTCCTGTAGTCTGGTTCCCTGACTCCATATAAGAAGAAACAGAGCAGTTTACATACATTTGGGAATTGTAAGGTCAGGGAACCAGTCTAGCTGGCTCGTACCCGTTCATAGGTTTGTAATCGATTGCAATCAAGTGCAATGGTCAATTGGGACCAGTATTTGAAAAAAAAGCCAGTTGTTTCCAACGCTGATCGGCCGATCAGCGTTGGAAATTGATACAAAAATACCACTTTTCTTGAAAATGACAGTATACCAGGTGCCATAATTTTACAGGATGCTTTAGACTGTCATTTACCAACATCCTATTAAGGTATTTCGCAAAAACTTGGTAGTTTTATTTTTCGATGTTTGCAAATGTTGTATATTCCCTTTAAAGGTGAAAATACTATACAGTTATTTAAGTATGGAACTGTTGGAACAGTTGTGAAGCCACAAAGAAGTTGATGATCTACTTTGGGGATTCGTCACCGTTGTCAGAGCTGAAATATAAAGAAAGAAAATGAAAGTAAATAATAAATGATTAGGAAGAGTATGTTGGCAAAGTGCCAGCCATATCTCGCTGGACCAGCACTTCCCAAGCCCATGGTGAATGTTGTCTCTCATTGTGCGGTGTTGGTGCAGCTGGAGATTTGCAAGGTGTATGGTACAGGAGAAGATAACAACATTGACCATGGGAGAAGGGGAGTGGGAGACTGGGGCAGGGTATGATTATTGTCAGGTTTTCAACCATTTAGGACAACATTGTAGCTACGTGTACAAAACATTGGTCAAATTAAAGTGTGTTTATTGGACTTGTGTGAATGTTTGCTGCATAGTAGACATTCACAAATAATAAAGCACAAAAGCATGAATAGTGTGGATAAGGAAATTTTAAAGAGAAAAAAAGTCTGCACAAGGAATTTTATGTGGAATGTGTATGGAGTTACAGTACAGTGTAGGAACAAAGGAAAACAAATGTGATGTGTCCACAGAGATATGAAAATTAGAACAGGTGATTGTGTTTATGTGAAGTGTTTAGAAAATGTATTTTTGTACCCAACGAAGAATATGAAACAATTGATGTTAAAAACCTAGACTTTTTGCACTCTGCAGAAATTGTATTGTGTACAAAGTGTATGGGGTAATGCACTTGAATGCTTTATGAACAAAATGGTGCATATTACTGTGAAACACCTTCTTGACTGTCTATGACTAGCATTTAAAATATTTGAAAGTGGCTTGTATTGTTTGAAATATGTGAAAATGCTTTAGAATTAGTGTGTCTATCATCAGGGCAGGGACCACATTGCTGATATGAGCATTTGATTGGGTTTAATACTAGCCATTTAGCCATGTTATGGCCATTGAAACTTGTGCGTGGAGAGGGGCAATTTTATTTAAGTGTGTAGTTGAAGGGCACAAGCAACATACTGGTAGTAGGGACTGAACCCATGTATCGTTGTCCAAGAGTCAAACACCCTAACTTCTGGAACACGGCATTAATAATAGTTGTCATGACTGTGTTGTATTACCTGTCACATGTCTTAGCCATGGAGGTGATGGTGTTTTTGCCTGTGACAGTCTGCAGCTCAATGTTGACAGTCAAGGGCAGATGTTGATGAGCTTCAGCAGGTTGCTGAATGGCAAGGGTGTTACAGAATAGGTCAGCTGTGCTATAATACTCGATGTCAAGGTCATCAAGGAAAGTGATGTTGTTACTGAAGACAGAGATATATGGAGAATACATTAGTTACTATAGGCAGTAGTTTACATTTGTAACACGGTTCTATCGGTAGAGAGTTTATATTGGTGACACAAAAAATAAGAAGTAGACAAAGTAGTTTGTCAACTGTTAATATGTTTTGAACCTATATTGAGTATATGCCTTCAAACAAAGTTATAGATGTATTTGTTTTATTGTACCTAATAAACATTCATGTAGTTAATGTTCCTAATCCAATTGTTTGATCTCATGAAAATGCTAATTACATGGATAATTATGTATGTGTGTTAGTATCATTTTATGCATATGGGGTGATGTTAGTTTGTGCATACTACAGATGTGTGACAATTTGATCATTGTATTATGAAGGGAATGTGCAGTAAAGTGTTGCATAAACCTATGTGTTAGTCTACTATGTAAGCATGTGTGAAGAATTGTGTGTGTGGTAGGTAAATGACAAAAATAGCGGCTGGGATGTGATGAAGAATGGAACAGTGAGAATGTGGTTGATGACTGTGAATATGTATTTGTTAAAGAAAAAATATACAAAGTGTCCCAAAAATTGCATACATAATTTTGTAGCTACTTTTTCTCTGTGCTTTGACATGTGTGAATGGAAATTGAAATATGGAAAATAGTATTTAGTTCATAAACATCCACCCACATAGTGATGAGTTACACTCTTTAATGATGTGTTTGCATTAATGTTTACGATTGGTTAAGGTGATGGTATGTACATGTACGTTTATAGTACATGTAGTATGTGGACATGACAGTACAACATGTAAAAGGTGCTGAGTACGTTTGAGTAAAAATGAAAACAAATGCTATAAACAGTGTATTTTGGAGTACAGTGTATAAAGAATATTTTAGAATTAATGTGGTGGTCTACCCTATTATAATTCTAGGGCTGGGGTCCGTCCTTGATTAAACACGGATGAAACTGGACACCAATCAATCACTTCTCGATCACTACGGTTTATTACCAATCGGATGCTTGGTCAATCAAAGAGGTAGGAATAGAAAACCCCAAAACAAAACCCTGAAACAAAACAAATAAATAATATTACATAATACACAGTTTCATAATCATATCTGGGTTCTAGACACACTTTTAGTTCAGTAATCGTCTTCAAAAATAATAATTAATATATATACCCCAGGGTCAGTCAGTCCCGAATGTTAGGATGTCTCAATGCATGTACATGGAGTGGTGTACATTCTGTACTGTGAAAAACACATAGAACTACATGGTTAAACACATGTACATGTGGCCTACGCAGAAAGTTTCATTTTATACCTCACGTGGCTGCAAACTTTACACGCAAAAAAAGCTGTAATAAAAGTGGGTCTATGTATCTTGGCTTAATAAATACTCACTTCCTGGAACTTAAGTCCCCCGAAATTATAGGAAGCAGGGTTGTCATTCCTGAGTTCCTGACATTAGCGTACAGCATTCTCCTACATGTGTCCGAATTTCTTATCGATTGCCCGCTCGAGCTCTCCGCAAAATTATTTCTCATTGAGGGAAAGTCCCTCCGCACGCTATAGCGCGCGGTGTCATAGAGATAAACGATAAACACGCCATACACAATGGCGGTGTCCTGTTATATCGGGACTCCCACATTAAACAAATTGTTTTTGCAGATGTGGAAACCAGTATGATGACATGAAAGTATGGCTCGGCAGTTGTTTTTAGGATGCTGTATGTACAAATTTCTGTCATCAGCCAAGGAGGGAGGAAACCCTCCCCCATGCTGTGACATCCAAAAAGTTATAGCAATTACATGTACAGTAATAATAAGATGGTGACATTGTGTATGTGTTTTAATGTGTATATGTTGAGTGTTATGTATGGGACACTGGCTAGAAAGTATATTGTATTTGTTTGCAACAATTGCAAAATGGATATAATACAAATTTGATGGATGCGAACACACCTCCCAACCCCCAGTACTTTCAGAATTTATTGTAAGTCATATTTGTATAACAGTTGAATGGCATGCAAATTTATGAGTGCATTTAGAGACAAATGTAATACAGTGGAATTGTTAGTGGCAAGGTGCTTATATATAGTTGCTTGTAGCATGATGAAACTGTAATGAAGTGTAAGGTATTACCTGTCCTCAATGAATGCAACAAACGTTACAGTTTTTGCTGTCGCTGCAGGTGCTTCTTCTGTCTGCATACAACAAATAACAGAAAGATTATTGAATAGAGTATCTGGTTGTAAAGAAAATTTCTAAAAATATGTGTACAGTACATTGTATGTAAATGCAGATAAAACTTACCAAAAATGTTGTTTCTTGTGTAGCTTTGAGCACTACTCTGTCTTAATACGAATCGGTGAGAAGATTCTCGACAGTCACTTCAGTTCCACTTGGTGGAATTTGTACTTCTGAGCTGCGGCCCCACAGGTTTACTGTTATCTTCTTGTTGCGTGTGTTGTCAACGAGATCTAAACTCTGAAGTGAGTACGATGGCCCTTCTTTAACGGGTGAGACATGTTTGTAAAGAGGAATGTTGAAGTGAGACTGATGTGGCAGCTATATTGTGATATAGAATGTGGCAATTTTATTTTGTGTTAAGCAATATGGAGTTGAAAGTATTTAGTTGTGTTAAATGTGAGAAATAAGGATTTGTAGTATGTGGGGTGAGTAACCATACATGTAGTAATGAAGATATGCAGTATAAGGATGGGAATGGGAGCAAAATGCTAAAGAACAGTGCATAAAACTCTAAATAAATTTCAATAATGAGAAGTTATAGATACATGTAATGTAAGTATGACTGCAGTGGCATTTGGGTGCTATAGTACTTTGACTGGTGAAGTACAACTAGCTGTGGGAGGTGATTCATAAAGCATTGTTATTTTCCGAGGCGAAGCCGACGGAAAATGGAATGCTGGATGGATCACTGAGGGATGCCAGTTTTACTGCACCATGAGATAAAGGAGTCAATATTTGTTTTATAACACCTCTCCTGCAATTTCTGCTTGATTTTAAATCATAACTGAATAATTTTATTGAAATGCATGTACATGTACAATGAAAATGTATTTTAAATTTGAATACGAAAGAAGATGAAAGTATAGTTGCCGCTGGTCTAAATTACACCATCACAAAACGTTTGAACCCGTCTCATATAGAGCTAGTGCTTACGACCAATAGGCAGACTTGTATGACTCGTGATTCGGATTCGGACTCGAATCCGACTCGAGTCACATTTTAATGACTCAGAGTTGGACTTGTGTCACTTTGACTTATGACTCGGACTCAGGGCTATGGACTCGGACTTGGACTTGAACTGACTTGTGACTTGACGGAAATTACCGCACTGCACACGTGCACATAAGTAAGTCGATTGTTTCTTTTCTGTGCAATACATGTACAGGGTGCTCGATGCGGTGCGTGCGTGGCTGTGCCGGTTACCGATGAATAGATTAAATAAATCAATGTACCGAAACTTGTACCCCCCGTCCGCACGTAATACTGCATTGGTGCAATATTGATAGGGTAATGTAGCAGACTTTTCTTGTTAGACGCCCTGTCGTTGACACGTGTATTTCTGTCGCATCGTGATAACGTGTACAGTGTTTCCCCTGCCCATTCAAACGTAAGGCGGCCCACCTCGCTACTTTCAGCGACCATCTCGCTCAATTTTTGCCCATATCACCACCTCGCTGTGAAGATTTACAATAAAGGAAATATCAATTGAAAAAAGATCATTTTGTGTATGAAATATATGAGCGTTTTACTTTACCTCCTTGTATCAAGAACTCACAGTTTGGATGTGTTTTTGGAATCATCGCGCATTTCTGTGAGTGCTGCATTCTTTTCAGTTTGCAGACTGCATAAATTTCGTTTCAATCATCTTGTTACCACCTCGCTCAGTTCATTAGCCAGGGGAAACACTGAACGCGTAACACGATATGAATACGGTCTGGTGATGTGCCCGTTTTGGTAACTTACATGGTATATCAAAGGCGACTCTGAATCTCTGAATTCCTTAAAATGAACGTTTTTCAATTGCAGTGTTAGAGGTGACTCGAACTCGACCTGGAGGACTTGGGATTCGGACTTGGACACGAGAAATGTGACTCGGATGTTTCGTGACTCGAAAACAAGTCTGCCAATATGAAGAAAGTATACACCCACACCTGTTATGTAATTTGCACACAATACCATTTGTCATTGCATAGTACTGTGGTTGCTACGGGTTTAATACTGTGGTTGTTGCAGGCTTAGTACTTTGGTTGCTATGTGTTTAGTAGCTTTTGCATGTTGTGTACAGCAAAATAGCAACAATAGTGAGTGATAAGTGACTCGCTCTCGGTCAATGAAGATACAGCATGTGTGGGTGAGGTGATATGATGGTGTTTATTAGGCCTAATGTACTAATGCAATTGTAACTTACAGCTTCAATGACACCGCGGATACTGACTCGGGTGTCCTTGGGAAGGGCTACTGCCTCGGGAATGGTGACCTTCTTAGCGTGAACGAAGCTGTCTTCTACTTCTTGTGCAATTGGAAAGGGTGCTGTATAAAAGATCTGAAAAACAAGATGAAAGATTTATTAAAAGTGTGGATTATGACATCTAAAATGTGTTGTTCTATGCTATATGGAAGAAGGTTATGCTAAAAGGTAGCAGTGTGATATAATTAGTAAGACAAGTGTAATAGTAATAGTGATAACAAGCTACATGTATGCATGTAACTTTGTGAAGGTGAGCAAATATTTTCAATGAAGGTAAGAATCGGCTAGTTTATCGTGTAAGATGGAGAGGGTCAGAAAATTTTACGATAACATATTTCTGCCATTTTTTGAAAATGAAAAGTGAGGTACTTACCCTTGTTTTGTGGGTTAGTTTGAAGGCGTGTTTGTTAGTTGATTTCACGATGGATGCATTGCAGCCAACAAGCTTGTAGAACTTTCCTTGCTCCAGCTTGTGAGTTTGGTCCTCTGGTAGGAACAGTTCAAACAACTTCTTGTCACTTTTGAGTACTTGGAGTGCATGGTCAAATTTCTTTGGGTAGGCATTTCTTGACAGCTTTGATATTGACGGTAGACATCTGCAAGGAAAAGGTACTTTTATTATTATAACAATGTTATGCTATAAAATCTACAAAAATACGAAATGTGTTGAGTGTTTGGAATATTGAGAAAATGACAGTGGCATCACTTTTTACACAAAAGGTTATGAATAGGGATATATAGTAGTATTTTCTATGCACAATACAGTTTCAGTAGTGCATTAATCAACCATGCCAGAAAAAAATTAAGAAACATGTGGCATGAAAATTACTTGTAGAATTAGAAGGCTATGTAGGCCTTCTTGCCTGGAGACTTTTTGGTGGTCAGTACAGTATGGGTTTTGGAAAGAAGTTTGATAGGTGAAATATGTTTCAAACACAAATTCACCAAAATCATTGCCTTGGGTGATCGTAATGACATCATGCAATTTGTCATCCGAACTACACAGCGCGTAGAAAAAGGACCGCGTAGCTTTTCCTTTCAGGGTCGAGGAGATGTCTAACGTAGTCTGACATGTCTGAGTAAAGTCTTGGAGCCAAGTTATCGCCTTTTAAACAAATGTCCCAATGTCTGGTGTTGATATTTGCCTTTTTGATGTTGTGGATTGCCGATGTGCAGAGTGAGAGATCTAGAGAAAACGCTAGGAGTAGGATTATGATAATGTAGACAGTTTTGACAATTTCTTTAGTTTCTGCTGGCAACATAACAATACATCCATTGATGTCCATATACACTGTCTGGTATGGAAGATCAATGATAAAATCATCAAAAAATGAGATCGATGGTGTTTTTTTTTTAAATATAATTCTATGATGGTGGTGTTTATACAGTGCGCCCTCTATTTGAAACAAGTGCATTGATTTGTCCAGCATGCATGCGCATGCAACCAGCCTTGACTCCAGGGGTGCCTGCTCGTTGCTTACACGATCGCGCAAGGCTTGATGGGAAACAACATGGCACTGCAAGTTCGTACCCACGTGGCACGAGGTTCAACCTCGTGCCCCATGGGTACGATCTTGCAGCGCGATGTTGTGTAAGTGTAGAAATCCCTGGGGACGGGGTGGGTTGGGTGTTGAGGTAGTACTAGTGTGGGTTGTAACTGACTGGTGAAGAGCTCTGGGTCTGGCTAAATTGGTGATTGGGAGGGCAACACGGGCACGCAGGTCCTAGTGAACAGGTGACGCTTTGAGAATAGTGAGCTTCCTTGCCTCAATGACGGCCGATTTATTCTTGCCAACCTGCCAGCCCAGCTGCCAATTCTCACTGTGTGAGAAATCGGCAGTGTGGTCAAAATACAAAGAATACAAATTACAAAAAGCACGCACATGTCAGTGTTATACAGGTATAAAATTACAATAAACGTGTACATGTAGATCTATTTCCCCAAATTAAATAAACAATCTTCGCATGAAATAAGAGTTACCTCAGGCAATGCTGAACATAAAGGAGCAGGCTCACATTTACACATGCTGGCCAGGCACATTCATACACACTATCAACCACTTTCATACACACCAGTCCTCAATGAACAGGAAGAGCCATTATTTACTTGTGTTATTATTCCCTAAATGTAACCCTTAGATAATCATAGTACATGTACTGGAATCTGACAATGCGCAATAAGACCCATGTTAAATTATACATGAAAATAAATACGTGCGTAACGTTATACACAATTACATGTACATGGGAATATCACGTGTGCGCGCACCACGCTGTCACATTTTGCACGTGAACGCGTGTATGCCTATACTACACGCACAATTTTCGCTAAACTCTCCTCAACGAACTCATACTTTGGAGCCCCAAACCTACATGTATATCTTATCAAAACTGTACTTAAATGCCTCCAGTATTATCTATGAACACTAGCGGACGAATCCTATTGCAATATTGGGTAGCGTTCAGTTTGCAAACAAATGATATTTCAATTCAAAAACGAGCTTCAAAAGTTGACAACGTACCCGTGTGAGAATTCGGCAGTGTGGTGCCGGTCAAGGGTAACGCAAGGCACAGGTCACGTACATAACACGGGGCGTGGCTTAACTACATGTAAACACTACGTGCATATCATACGCACACTCTACAACTCTTTCCCGCCTAGGGAGGCATCGCCCTCGATGCCTGGAGGCAACTCTCTGGCAGGAATTGGCAGTTAACGGCAAGATTAACACAAACGTCCTAATACTTTTAACACCAAATAACTCGGAACGACTTTAACAGTTATTCAAAGCTCCAGGAGCTTAACACTAGATAACATTGATAATTTTAACATTTCTTCTAAGTAAAGTAGCTTAACACTAAGTTACAGGGATCAACTTTAACAATTCTTTTAAGTGTAAAAGATGTACTCTACAACTTAAGTCTATCCGGGGGCTTGTTCCGAGTGGCACGAACTGGATAGCGAGATCTGCTTGCATCATGTGACCCGGTACCAGCATCTGAAGGAATCTCCCCACAAGTAA